GGTGGAGGAGGGGGTGGGGGGGGAGGTGGGGCTGGTGGCATTGATGGTGTTACGGGACCATTTTGCACTGGAGAAAAGAAAAGAAACAAATTTACTTAGAAAATAGAGGGATGGTCTCCCACAAAATGTCATGTGCACACACAGTATATAATGACCAAACACTTAAATACTGTAACAACAGGGACATGAAGACTTTTAACTTTAATCTCAAAATGAAATCATTTTTACAATCAGAAGTGAAATCACATGCCATCAAAAGCAGGCAAAAGACCTACAAATAGGTAATTGGTAAAAGAAGTCACACAGATATCCCAATGCTATCTACATTCCCCACCAAGGCTTCTTACCTGATTCAGGTGTGTCTGGTGACAGAGGTAGTGGTGGGGCAGGAGGGGGCAAGGTTCCCACATAGTGACCAGCTACTGCCTCTGACCCTGTCGGCAGTGTGCCAGAAGCTACAACTGGCAGTATGGAGATGTCTCCATCCCCTTTCTTCTGAATTTTAATGGTCCCTTGTTTCTCCAGTTCATGTATCTTTTTTTCCAGGGTAGACTGTCTTTGAATGGCTTCTTCTTTTTCTTTGACCATTTTTCTTAATGTGTGAACTTGGGTATTTGCATCTTTATAGATTTCCTGCAAAAGAGTCCACGGTCAAGAGTTTGTCTTGACATGAATCACACTTATGAAACCATCAAATTAGCAAACTCAGAAACTCAGAGTAACTGCTTTAAAAAAAAAAAAAGAAAAAGAAAAAAAAGTGGCATTCATATACTGAGAAATCTATGGACCTCAGCCAAAACTAAAAATATTAATTACACTAGTAATATACACAATATATTCTAGCAACTGTTATTGTTGATGATGATCTTTGAATTTAACAAATGCGGCTAACTCGACTTTCTGGGCAGTGGAAGGAAAAAGGGCAGAGATGACTTTTATTCACCAAACCTGGCCTTGAAGTCTCCACAGGGTGTTCTGGTAACACAGCTTGTTTTCTTTCATTTATTTTAAAATTCATTTATAACTCCTAGATACACATATCAGCTAACAATAGACAAAAGAGCCCTATATCAGACTTGGATACAAGTCAGACTAGGATTAAAAATCTGCAATGCCTGGAATAATCTATTCATGAGTAACCAGAGGCTAGTCGTCCTTGAATGGATTTCTCTGGTCCTCATAGTGTCTGAATCCTTGACTAGCTAGGCTCACAACAATAATTATAACATTTTCCCTTTGGTAATGCAGTAAGGAAACAGGCCAAAGCTTCCATCCACTAGTTACTTATTTCTGGTTAGGTTTTTAGCAGAAAATGAAGAAGTTCCGATTTTCTAACCAAAGGCTGTCCAGGTTCCTGGTTTTAGGGGACTATAGAGGGCCTAGTGAAATGTGTTTTATAGACCTGAGCTTCCTTTCTGGGCTTGCATATGTGAACTTGCACCACAAGGATCCAGCAGGCAGGGAGACATTCTTCACACCCTGTCCATTTTTAATAATCCAAGTGTCTGAACTTGAATTGAGTCCATATGCTGCGACTTTGTCTCAATTGTGTGCCAGAAAATAAATTTCCTAGAGCTAACTGTAGGACATGTGAGAATATCACAGACTTGATAACCATCCCATAAAATTGCCATTGCATTAGTGGTGGTATAAAGGCAAACCATTTGCCAGAAGGCCCTCCAGGGGTGTTGGTGTTTTTTGTATTCTATATAATTCCAGGCCCCTTGATGGCACTCCAAAAATACTTGACACGAAAGGCAAAATCACAATAATGCCAAACAAAATAGCTGGGATTATCTGACAATAAAATGGATTGGTTTGTTTTGCCTTCCTCTCTCCCACTCACTTTTTCCCCCTTTTCTGGTGAATAGCATACGGTCTAGCCTATGCTGTGATTTTGCTGTTTCCATAGCAACGACAAAATCTGGTTTTGAGTCAAAGCAAAGCAAAGAAATACAATGAAGTCCAAAGCCTAATAAAAACAAATAAGTGGTATGAATTAAATCCATGCTGTATTTTTCTTTCCAACCAAATGGGTGATCCCCAGAATCAATTCAGTCTCCTCCAGATGGCAAAACATTGTGGCTCCCAAAATCTGTGATAAGGAAATACAGGCTCTCCAGGACTTGATTACACACACATGTGTACCTGTCCAGACTATGTGTACTTTCCATATGGGTATCACCTTGCAAACAGTTCCAGGGGTTTCTGAAAAATATGCTGCCTTGATGCATTCCTCATAAGCGAATGGATTCCATGCTCAACGAGCCTAAAGCTCCAGAGCGTGTTCCCCTCCACGCCCATCTGGATGGCTGTCAGCCTCACACTTACTCGGACAACGTCCAGTTCCTTGTTCCTCTGCATGAGCTGTTTTTCTAGTTCCACGATCTTGGACATGGCTTCATTCTCCGTGTCTTGCAGTTTTTCAGATAACTGTAACATTTGAAAAAGAAGCTGAGTCACAATGCAGGATTATTCTGACCAGGTCCATGGCGGTCAGAAAGACCATTAGGGGCCCCAAGCTCCTCAGATCCTATGTGTGTTGCACAAGCTGTTTTCCACAAAAGCTAATTTTCACTATGTTCAGAATGCACATTTGTTTCTACCAGGAATTAATCATGTTTATGTGATCCTTAATAAAACCCATATATGAGTCCCTTAGTGTTTCGACATGCAGTGTGTCTCCCTCTTTTCCTTCAGGGCTAGCAAGGGTAGAGAAGAGGATGGTGAAGGAAGGGTTGGCCTCCCCACTGTCAAGAGTTATTGTCCTTGATGTTTGGTTTTGCTTTGGTTTGGCTTTTGTGGTACTGGAGATGAAGCAAGAGTCAGGCACTAGTGTTTGCACGGCGACCCAAAATCCTTCTGCTTTTAGTGGTTCTCCACTCAGACAATCTCTGATAGTGATCTGCTTATCTCTTCTCTCCAAATAGCTGAGATTACAGGTATGAGACCAGTGGTTTTCTGAAATGAGGTTCCACAAATTTTTTTTTGTTGGAGTTGGCTTTTAATAATCCTATCTCTACCTTCTGAGTAGCTGGGTATAGGTGTATAAAGCAACAGTGAACCCCAAAATTGTTGATGTAGAAAACTGGTCTGATATAGAAAACTTTGGTAGGCAGTCTGGGTATATGTGAGGGAAGTTCATTACTTATTTCAATCCAAAACTATTCAAATAGTGTTATTTGGAGGAGCAGTTCAAATAAAGGTGGCCAATTGTAAAAGTAGATATTTTTTTTTCAAAAGATACTTTGTCTCAGGGCAAGTTCTGTTATTTTATTTCTCTCTAGTCCTATAGAAAATGCCAATCATTTAATTCTCCTGTATCTATAACCAAGAATGCCAGGACAGCCAATCCAGTTAAGTGGAGCAGATAAAGCAAAGGACCCGACTTTAAGTAACATACCTGCTTTCTTTGAAAGAACCCAGAATAGCTTCTGATAGCTCTCTTTCCTGGTCCATGGTTCATTCCTAGTCACTGAACTCTTTAATTTACTACCACAAAAGCTGTTAATTCTGTTTTGTACCCAATTCATACACAAACACTATCCCCCTTTCTGAGGTCAGCTTACATGAGAAATGTTTTCTTCCAGTTCTTCCACCCTCTCCAAGGCTGCATTCTTAGTTTCTGCATCTTCAAGCAGAGCTCCAACATCAAACACGTTGTCTAGGTAAGCCTGAATCTGGACTTGCAGCTTGTCACTCTCTGTGTGCTTCAGCTTCTAAAATCCAGAATCACACAGACAGTGGTGTTAGTTTTTCTGCAAAGACAGAACATCATTACCTAACAGTCTACATGCTTTGTTTGTTCCAAATAGTCCAGCCTTCCCCAAAATGTCTACTATAACATCTTCCTTAAAAGAATTATAGAGTGACTACCTAATGAAGTCAATTCTGATTAATACTTTCTGATGATTACCCTTCCCAAATATATTAGGCAATCTACTGGAAGTTAGGCCTGACTGGTATGATAAGCAATTGTGTCAGGATGAACATAATCAGCCCTTGTGATTGGTCTCCCAAAAAAGTGAGAGTACGTACAATCCCCTGGCTTTATCCCTAGTGGAGATGGGCAGCCAAAATCTATAGATGTCCAAAGGCAATGTCTCTATCATCTCCATGTTACAAATCTTGACTAAGGTCAACAACTGCTGCCTGACCACTAGTGCTCTTCCAAATTCAGCTGGATAAAACCTGTCTACAAGTCAAACGGCAGGAAACACCCAGTGTTCACATAGCTACACAAGTCCACTGGTAATTTTCACATCAACTTTCTGTTTCTTAATGGAAGAACTTCAGGGAAATGCCAAAGTACATAAACACAGGAGGAAGAAACAAGAGAAACTAAACCCTCTTCTCCTAAGAACTGAAAGTGCAACTTTTAAAGCCCCAAACACTTGAAACAGAATGTAACAGCTTTGGGAGGAAGTCTCTAGTGAGTACTTCCTCATAGTGTTTAATAGGCTACACATTTACTTCTCATTCTACAGCAGTCTTGGTTTGACTCTGTCTGCCCACATGGGGTCCCCAGAGGAAACAAGAACGCAAATGTTCCAGCAGCCCAGATGAAGAACGCAATGAGACTTGACCCAGACAGGGCTCAAAAGCTGAGGAAAGCTGTAACCAAGCTGCAAGAAGTTATCTGATGCCTGTACTAAAAGGCTTTAGACAGAAGACCCTGGGAGGTCCCAGGGTGCCCACAAGAATCCTGCTGTCCCTGGCAGGGCATATCACTCACATTAAATCGTGTAACACTGGTTGACTGCACAAAGCTTTCAGCATTCTTTAGTCACTACTGAAGTATATTTTTGAGGCTGGGAAAAAAATGATTCTTACACTGACACCAAAGGTGACAGCTATACTTACATCCAGGTATTCATCCAGGCCTAATTTGGTAAATTCATACTGTAGGTGAACTCTGAAGTTCATGTCTTCTACTGAATGAACCACAATATTAATAAATTGCATAGAGGCCACCTGAAATAAAATTGTCAGAGGGTTAGATGGGCTCCAAATTTTATTCTCACAAGCATGTGCTTTTATTTCCACAAACCTATGATTACTTACCAATTCCCTTATTTTTCATTTCATTGAGCCTTTTAAAATACAAAGTCATAGAGGTACAATTAATTGAGATACCACTTCACACTCACTACATTTCTAACAAAACAAGAAATACAATAACAAGTGTTGGAAAGGGTATAGATACAATGAAACCCTCATTCACAAGTACTGGGAATGTGACATGATGCAGCCCCTCTGAGAAGTGTGACAGTTCTGTTAAACACAGCTACCACATGATACAGCAAGAACACTTGTAACCATACAGCTAAGAGAAATAAAAAGACATGTTGACACAAAAATCTGCACATAGATGTTCATAGACATATACATAACAACCAAACAGTGGGAAGAAAACAATGCCCATAAAGGGATAAAATACTGTGTAGCTACCCAATGGAATATTGTGACAATAAACAGTGATAAAGTCCTCACAAATATTACAGAACAGAGGAATTGGAAAATACCATTGCAAGTGAAAAAAGCCAGTCCAAAGAGACCACATGTCTGATTCCATGAAAATATATCAAGACTAGGCCAAACCATAGAAACAGAAAGTGTATGCCTAAGGCTGGGGATGAGGTAAATGGGAAGTGACTGCTAAGGAACACAGGGACTCTTTTGCAGGGGGTACAATGTTCTCATGATGGTTATACAGCCGTGTATATGTACTAAACACACACTGTCCACTGATAGTGGGCAAAGTGAATAATATGTGTGCTGAATTTCAGTAAATCTATCCTTGAAATCATACAAGTATAAAGAACAAACTAAACATGCTATTGCAGATAATATGTATAGGTATAAAACCAGATAGGAAAAATATTACAAAGAACATGTAAATCTTTACTTCTCAAAATTTACTATGAGCTCCCTGCTACCTTCCACTGCAATCACCTTATTTCTATTCCAAAAAAGTTTGGAGTTTAGTACTTTCTCCCCACAACTACATCGGTGCCCCTAAGATCTGTTCCAGAGAAAACTAGCCCCTAGTTTGGTAGATAACAGAATAGAATTCAACAGAATTAGACCCCTAAGCTCCCCACAATTCCTGCTATTGTTCAAAATTTGCTTCTACTAAGTCAATTCTTTGAATACATGCTACACACTGGATGTTTTGGAAGGTGTATAAACCCCATCAGTTAAAAGGGAACTTTTACTAAAAAATTTACTTTAAGCCGGGCATTGGTGGCTCATGCCTATAATCCTAGCTACTCAGGAGGCTGAGATCTGAGGATCATGGTTCAAAGCCAGCCCTGGAAGACTTTTATCTCCAATAAACTACCATAAAACCATAAGTGGTACTATGGCTCAAGTGGTAGAGCTCTAGCCTTGAGCTGAATTGCTCAGGGACAACGCCCAAGCCCAGCGTTCAAGCCCCCATAAAAAAATTTAAAAAATGCATAAAGTTCTTGAGTTAAATGAACTTTAAAAATTGCCTATTTTCTTTGTGACCCAGCTTGTTGTTTTCTAAGTTTACATTTTTTTAATTAGCAGATGTTATTTGGGGTTTTTTTTGCCCATCAAATACAGAAGAAGGTCTTAGCGATACTAAAACAATATACACGTTATGATAAATATGTCGTTTGGGAGCTTGTACAACCTACTTGCATTACTGAGGCAGTTTATCTAAAGCCTTGTTTTCTGGAAAGAAAGTACAGATGGGTTCTGACATCTTCCCACATCTCCCTGAAAACTGCTCTAAATACTGGGTCTTATGATATGCAAAAAAAGGAAATTATTTATAGGTGACATGAATCCAGAATAGCACTTGTATGCCACTGGCCTGTAAAGAAGGCACCTCAGCGCCTGTACATAGGAAGAAGCCAACTGAGAGAGCATGTGTCTAATCTGGATGTGAACATAACTGTTGTTTTTATGGACTAGTTATAATTCAGCAGAAACTTAAATAGGCAGAGCAGTCAGCAGGTGTCCTAACTGAGTGAAGTAGGTAATATGAAACACAACAAGGGGAATGGTGTGGCTTGTCAAAAACTACAGAGGATTTCATTATTTTAGGGGTGGGTGGTGGTAGAAATTGAACCTATAGCTTCTAGGCAAGTTCTCTACCACTTGAGCTACACAATCTCAATAAAAAGAAATCAAAATAAAAACAACCCATTTTGTTTTTATTTTTGAGATAGGATCTCACTAATTTTGTCCAGGCAGGCCTTGAACACAAGACTCAACTGTTCATCCTCCTTTAGACAAAAAGAACTAGGACTACTTGGCTCTAGCAGCTAACACTTTCTACCAATGCAACCTAATATTATCAGGTGTTCTTAATTTTCAAAAACTCAGGCATCTGCTTTTATGTATCATTATCTGCCTCTCTTTATGTAAAATCTTCACTTGTCCAACTAAACTCACAAGGGTTTAAGTTCGCGTTAGCCTTAGGGACTCCAGTTTGCAAACTCAGCTGTAACACAATCAGTTCCTCTTAACAAGGCACAGGAAATCAGCTGGTAATGAGCCAAAGCATGGATTTCTTTACATATTTATCACCAAGACCACTATTAGCCTGAATGTCTCCAAAAATCCTAATAAGAGAAAGTAATGAGAAAGTAACCCTGTCTTACACTTATTTTCCTTCTTTTCAAAAGCAAATATTGTACCTAACAGAACAGAAACATTCTCTCTGAAAGACCTCATATTTCTCACCAATTCTGAAGAGGGGTGAAGGCTAGCATACATATAAATTTGTATTGCAACTCCCCAGTCCCAATTTTTTTTTCCACATGGACAAGTTAGAAATCAGCAAAGCTAAATTTTACACTTTAAAAAAAAATCACTGCAGGACACTTGTGGCTCACACCTGTAATCCTAGCTACTCAGGAGGCTGAGATTTGAGGGTTGAGGTTGGAAGCCAGCCAGGGCATGAGACTCTTATCTCCAATTAACCACTCAAAAACTGGATGTGGCACTGTGGCTTAAGTGGTAGAGCACTAGCCTTGAGCACAAAGAGGCTCAGAGGCAGTGCTTAGGTCCTGAATTCAAGCCCCCACAACCAACAAAAAGTAAAATTAAAAAAAAAATCACTGAAGCTACTGAAATTAAAACATTATTAGCATATTAGGTATAGGCTTTGCAATGTAACAACTGTTTGGACACCTGCTGTAGATCCAAAGTGGTCTATCTGGGATATTCAGCCTAGGAAAGGACCTCCCCTCCTAGGTCCAAGTTTCCTAGGGTGATTTTTTTTTTTTTGTCAGTCCTGGGGCCTGAACTTTGGGCCTGGGCACTGTCCCTCAGCTCTTCAGTTCAAGGCTAGCACTCTACCACTTGAGCCACAGCACCACTTGCAGCTTTTTCTGTGTGTGTGGTGCCAAGGAATCAAACCCGGGCCTAGTGCATGCAAGACAAGCAGTCTACCACTGAGCCACCTTCCCAGCCCCTCCTAGGGTGATTGTAATTAGTCAACCTACAGATCTGACCCACTCAAAACTAATTCTGTCTGAGGGCAATCTTTATGATAGAGTCTTTCTTCAGTCCAGGATTCAAATTTGCACATATGAATTCAGAAGTGCTGAAACTCCTTTTGTGGTTCTTTTCTGAGAATGACAGGGCTGCTGTGGAACCTCACATTCTTGCATGTGTTCTCACCTTAAAAGACCATCTAGAGGATGACTGTGTATTTCTCCTGGAATTATCAAATCAGGAAAATAGGTAAAGGGGGAAGGGAGATTACTGATACACATTAATGGGGGGAAGGAGGGCTAACAAATTAATTCAGTTTCTACAAAGCAAAGCTCTTAATCTCTCAGCATATGATCTGAAAAAGACCACTGAACAGAGTCAGCAAGTGTTAAAAAGGTCAAGATTCCTTCCACTTAGGATTTCTATGTAGTACCATCAGCAGCTGAAGTTGGCAACTGCAGGTATTAGCACTAGTTCTCATCTTCCTTTTCCCAAATGCACCGATTCCCCTTTTATTTGCTATAAATAACCAGCACTTTTGTCCTTTAGTGAAGTGTGCATTAAGTGAATACAACTGGAAATAAATGCCATAAAGGGAAGACAAATGAAGAGGAAATGCTCTAGGATGGATCTACAACACATTAAACTAAATTTTCTGTTTGGTGGTGGTGGTGGTGTGTCTATGTGTACATGTTTAGAAAAAAATGTTAAACTGACTTTGCTTTATTGGATGTAATACATGAAAGTAACTCACCATAAAATCTATGTTATTGTCTTCATTCCTGAAATGTTCCATCAACTTCTCAAAGCGTTGTTTTTCTCCACAAACCTGAAACATACAGTTTCATGTGCATATGACTATGCAAGCATAAGCATTCCAAAATTAGATTTTAGTGTTAATAATTATTACCAGAGTATCTTTCATTTTCAAATACTATTTACTTTCCATCCAAAATAGTAATCTCACAAACAGCCAAGTAAAACAGGACCAAAAGCTCATGTGTGGTTTCCTTTGCATATTTTCATGATATTTTAAGAGACATATCAAATGTGTTTCATTGGTTGCCTTTGCAGATCTGCCATTATTTTTATCATGCATTCACAATCCAAGAATATGTTCATGGTACAAAAATATCTTTAATTTTGATTTTAACAATTTTAAATTTGAATAATTCAGAATGTAAGCTCCTTGAAAAGCAGGTTCAAAATGTTCATATGCCTAACTAAAATGAGTTTAATGCATTATAACACAGAAGTAAAAAAAGGACACTTATAGAAGCTATAATAGCCCATTTAAAGTGAACATAGAAATCACAACAATTTGTGAAGCAGTACCCAAAAGCCTAGAACATGTGTTCAGTTAAAATGAATACTTACATTGAACAGGTGAAATAACACAGACAAATTACTGAGATCTTAAGATCATGGTTTGAAGCTGGCAGAGGAAAGAAAGTCCAGGAGACTCTTATCTCCCCTTTGCCCCCCCAAAAAAGTGGGAGTGGAGATGTGGCCCTGCTACCCCTGAGTACAAAAGCTCAGGGGCAGCACCCAGGTCCAAAATTCAAGCCCCAGAACTGGCAGGCATACACACATACACACACAGATTTTCAGCAAATAATAACTCTATGGAAACTTATTCCCAAAACTGAACCGTAGTTTCAGAAGGCAGAGAGAGAAATATACATAGCTCAGGAAGGAGAGGTAGACTCAGGTGGGAAGAATCTAAAGTAAAATTTGCCTTTGATAAAACATGCTTTTCTGAAGCCATCTAGACAGTCTAATTCAATGGTCATGAATGCAGACATTTTAAAACACTATGCGTTAACTTTGATATTCACAAAAGACAAGTTTCTCAAAACAAAGGTCTATTGAATGTCATAAGACAGTGTAGGTCCTGCTTGCTAAACTGTGCCCAAAGGAACAAGCACTTATCACTGAAAAAGTCTGCCCACTTGGTGAAGACTCCCAATAAGTGGCATTAGAAAGAGTCAGAATTGCTGACTGGTTAATAAAGGGATGACATCTAACCAGCACAACCAATAAAGAATTAAATTCATGGTGGATAAATTTCCCTCAAAATGCCACAGTAGCCTGATAGACAGACTAAAAATAGACATTAAGAAGAACTCTGAATATATGTGGTTTAGAAATCATTCTGTCAGGAAGTGGCGCTGTAGCTCAAGTGGTAGAGCACTAGCCTTGAGCTGAAGAGCTGAGGGACAGTGCTCAGACCCAGAGTTCAAGTCCCACAACCAACAACAAAAAAAAGAAGAAGAAGAAATCATTCTGTCAACAGTCATCTATGCCAAGAATATGTGTTATGAAGCAAGTAACTCCTTTACTTATCTAAAGTAATAGACTTAGATAGCTTTCTCTTCATAACTGCTATAGAGCTGGTAAAAAGAATTCAAATCACAAAATGATGTATTGGCAACACAGATGTCAGGTTTAGAGAAGAATCTGTGTGAACGCTCTCAAAATTCCCCAGAAATACTGGAGTGTATCTACTGTCAGTTCCACTGAGTTACTCTGCATAGAAGTTGAGACTCTGTGTTGCCTTCCTGAGATCACTGTGGAATTCCCTGACTTTGCTACTGGGAACAGCCTGGCTTATGGAGTCCTCTCCCTTTCTGCTGGGGAAAAAAAAGAAAGCATGCAAACCAGATTCACATTTGTTTCCTTATGACTTTAGCAATCATTAAACAAGTGTAGACTATAATCCCACAGGAAATGGGAAGATATGTGTGGGGAAGGTTGGTAAAAGTTGGGTCCCACATCAAAAGGAAGTCGTCTTACATAGTTCATACTGCTCACATCTGGACCACCCTTACTCATATAGTTAAAACGGGACCAACATGATTGATTAAGCACGCCTCTTGTCTATTTGTAGAAAAAAACTGGTAAAGATCAAACAACAAGACACCACTTTTCATCTGCTTTCAGAATCCATACACTGATGTTCAAGAACTTTATCAAGATGTATGGACTAGCAGGAACATATCAATGTGTATATATTACCAAACATTACATATTGCTCATATAACTTCCATCTGTCCTATAAAGCTATAGAATGCAAAAATATTTAAATAAAGTAAGTTACACTCTTGCAGCTTAATTTGTACATCCTTGGTTTTAAATTTACTAATATTTCTCATTTCCTTATCAACTTTGCAATCATTGATCAAAAGGAGCCATAGAGTAGGAGGCCTGAAAGTTTGGGAGCTGCAGAAAGACAAAGAAGAGCAGAGCAGAGCCAACTGGAAAGGAACTCTTACGTATTGCACTACTGTAACAGAAATTAGATTTCTACTGCTAGCAAGCAGAGCTACCAGAAATTAAGTAAATCAACAGATAAATCAAAACATGGATACCAGGAAAAACAGGTACTCTACTGTAACTAAGAGGCATTTTCATTACAAATCATCTCATCATCTTATGTGAATACATTTGCTGACCATGATTTATATTGTGTCAAGTGAAAATGCTCGGCGTCCAGTCTTGGCCGACTGATGCCACTACACTGCCCAACCCTGCAAAGACCACCTAAGACAAATGCCCTCTTTGTAACTTTAAGCTCTGACACTGATGGGTGAGGGGTTACAAGCTCAGAATCAGGACTATGTGAATGGATCATAAAAACCTGACATGTGAGTCACAACTCTACCATGATGCTACTGTTAGATGAGACAACAATGACCAGCTCTGGTCTCCATTTTCACAGACATTTTAAGAACCTTAGTTGACTTTCAAGTCATGCTTTAAGAAACCATAAGGGTTACAGGGCGGCTCCAGGAGGCTCAATATTTCAGGAACTTGGCAGGAAAATGGCAGGTTGCCTAGTAAGACTTCTTGTGGCATGGAAAGATTTCGTATCTAATAAAAGTTTGAAAACAAAAATCTAGAATAAAGGACTACAATTCTAATCTAGTGTAGTAATATAGCACAATATTCCCAGACTGACCTACATGGAAACTTAATACAAAACAAATTCAGAGAGATGTACTTGGCTATGTACGACCTACGTACAAGGGCCAAATTACTGTGATAGCCCAGCTAGTTTGCTCCTGTTCGTGTAGCAGGTAAGTACCACTTTACCCAGATAAAGCAAACCACTCCTACAAGCAAGATACATTTTCACTTAAAGGAGAAATGAAGCAAAAGTACATTTCTTGCCAAAAAAACCAACTCTGCTATGTTCTCCAACATCTGTGAAAGGCATTTCCAAACAGTGTCCCAAACCATTTGGATAAATCTGGACCCTGGATGCAAAGAAGGCTGTGGTTTAAAGTGTCTCTAAGAATGGGCTGAGGTCAGTGGATGATTTCCCTACAGGCTCATAGCAAAGAAAAGATGGTTTTACAAAAGCTTTGTAATAAAAGAGTATAATCTTGCTGACCAGATGTTGAAATGAACAGACTCTCGGCCTTGAGCTACCTCTCTGTCTCCTTCAAGGTCAGTGGCTGTCTCTGGCTCCTCCAGCAACAGCTCCCAAGGCACCACACGACTGCAGCCAGATTGAGCCCTGACTCTTATGAGGTGGCTATAAATGCTTCTGGGTTAGTTATATAAAAATTAAAGGCCCCTTGCTTAAGTGTTTCCTTTTTGCCCTGTTGCCTGGCGCCTGGCTCAATACTTTCTTTTTCTTTCTTCACAATAGGGCCCTGTGATCAGCTAGACTCCCTGCAGGAAGGCATGGTTTTAGAGGCAAGCTCTCTGTTATGACTGATTAGAGTATGCTTCTGGGAGCCTGCCTGGGAACAAAAGTTCCGTTTTCTTTTCAGGGTCTCATGAAGTAAACAGTTACTTCATAGTTAGTCCTCAGAAAAGCATCTTCTTCCTTCTCTGGCAAACATCAGCAGTTTTAGTTGCTGACGCCACACTGGCCCAACGAAACCACTTTTCTAGACTATTCTACAGTTGCCAGTCTGTTATTTCATATACATTCACAGATACTGAATGCTGCTGTAACAAAAGTAGACTTCAAGACCTGCCATTCGCTCTTGAGTCTCCTTGGAATTTAAAGACAGAAAAGTTCATCTAAACAAAGCATTCTGAAACTTGATTTCTCTCTAATGAAGTAAAAGTGAATGAAAGTTAAGCATCTGAATGTATTCTGCAATCAAGTGAACTTTCATTTTTTATAAATTAATAAAACATTTAGAGCCACCTTGGCCTTGGAGACATCTGATTATAAGTCTGAAGTTTCATCTGCAGAACACTAAACATCCCTGTGAAAACCTTAGTCATTTTTCCAGATGTTTTCAGACATCCAGATGTTTGGAAGTAGACACAGCATCCAAATGTGTATCTTACTTTCCAAGTGTGTATTTTACTGTAACGAACAAAGGAAAGGATTTTGATGTAGCAGCAGCAAAAAAAAAAAAAAAGATTAGAGACACTCATTGACACACCACAACCTAAATGAGAAACATTTTCACTACTCCCCAAACAGAAAATGGCCTTCACTAAATTCTGAAGCATAAAGGTGTACAATACAGTTATCTATAGCCACTTCTGAAAATATTCCGAATGTCTGACTTAAATGGTTTGGCTATAATACAAGACCCTTGTTTCTTTTTTCCTTTCTTCTTTTTTTTTTTTTTTTTGGTTGGTCATGGGTCTTGAACTCTGGGCCTGGGCGCTGTCCCTCAGCAATTCAGCTCAAAGCTAGAGCTCTACCACTTGAGCTATTGCACCACTTCCAGCTTTTTCTGTTTATGTGGTGCTAAGGAATCGAACCCAGAGCCTCATGCCTGCCAGGCAAGTACTCTACCACTGAGCCACCTTCGCAGCCCAAGACCCTTGTTTCTTGACCATTCAGAAGGACAC